AGAGTAATGGACACTGATTTTCTTTTTGAAAAATACCATTTAAAAAAGAGGGCTAATGCACATCCAGAATAATTCTTTAAAACTCAAACCTTTGGAAAATGGTCATTTAAACTTCCTCTCTTTGAGATCATTTCCTTAAAAAAAAAAATGTCTGTTAGAAAACTCAAATCTGGTTGATCTGGGTTTGGCATATGCAGTTGCAGCTTCTTGTCTTCAACATGTTCCAAATTCCTGTATTCTATCTGATTCTCTTTCTGCTTCATTTTTGTAATACACCTGGAGTCTTCTGTATTTATTAGAAGAGGAGGCCAGGATTCCTCATGCCTAATGAATGTTGGCAAAGTGGATATTACTGGTTTCCTGCACGTGTTTATCAGAGGGTGGTGAATTCAGTGTGCTTAGTTATTCTATATAAAACGTGCCCATGCTGAACAAGAGCTGGTTTACTCTCAACATAAAGTGATAAGACCAAAGTGTAGCATGCATTTAGATGATTATGTATTTTTTTGACCTTTACTGTAATTATCACTAATTGATTTTTTTTAATTATCTTATTTCCTTTTTTTTGGTCAGTATCTGTGTATACTTTCAAAATGCATTACTTCTGATTTTTATTTTCAATCTATTCTTTCCATCATTGATATGAGGTTGGAATACTTCCTAACATGCCTTTCTTTTATAAGAAAAGTCAACTTACCAGGATCTGAGCCATTTCAAAGTTTATGAAAATTTTGAGCTATGGGTGAAGGATAATTTAATATTTGATAATTTACCACTGATCATTTCTCTTGAAAAACTGACATTTTGCAGTAAATGTTTGATCTTGAATACTTTAATGAAATTCAGGTTTGGGGGACAGAGAAAAGGGTTAAGAATCTTTTTAAACTAGTTTTAATTGTGGTTTACTTTGCATTTACTTATTACATTTAAGAGTGAGCCTTATGACTTTGACACAGCAATCCTATACTTCAGAGATTTGTGTGTGGCCTAAATGCCTTAGCATATTAGTAATTTTTTAATAAATTTTCGTATTTAATAGATACTAGCTTCAGAAAAATATGTTCCATTTGTAAATGTTTGGATGCTTTAGAAATGTAAATGTTTTATGCTTTAGATGCTGTAAATGTTATTGTTCCATTTCAGCAATGTTGCAGATTGATATTTACTGGAGTCTCTAATTTATTTTTACCATAGAAAGATCTTAATGAAGATAAATAATGGTAATATGAAAAAAAAATAATTTTACTCAAGGTACACATCAGTTCATTAGAAAGTCTTTGAGCAGAACCCAGACTGCCTGGCCAGCATTTCAGTCTGTTACCCATTTTCCTCTACCACCTACTTTCAGTATTTGATAGAGACTGCTGCTTAAAAATCAAAATATAAAAACATTGTTCATTATAAACCTATTTTTCATATATCAGAATACGAGTTTGCTTTCTAAGGTCCTTACCAAGGATCCATTTTTGAATTTTTTTTTTTTAATTTTGCTTTATTCTTTGCTTTGTTTCATGTCTGTTCAATTTTATTTATTCCATGTTTTCTTTTTGTTTTGTTTTTGTTTTTAGTTGTGTCTGGT